GACACTGAGTTCTGTTGATGAGAGGGGCCCCCAGATATTGTACCTGTGCCTGCTCACACACCTTCTCCCAGGCTGATGAGAAAGGGTGAGGGGAAGTTTCAGAGAAAAGGGGGCACCTTTCTGTGAGTATTGATTAGCCAGGATTTAGGGCAGTGATTTTCAACTGATGTGACAAGGCACACTGGTATGCTGTGAGAAGATCTTAGGCATACCACAACAATTTTTAAAGATCATTAATTAGATTATTTTTGAGTTGGGCATGGTGGCTCACACCTGTAATCCTAGCACTCTGGGAGGCTGAAGCAGGTGAATTGCCTGAGCTCACAGGTTAAAGATCAGCTGAGCCAGAACGAGATCTCATCTCAAAAAAAAAAAAAAATAGCTGGGCATTGTGGCAGGTGCCTGTAGTCCCAGCTACTTGGGAGGCTGAGGCAAGGGAATCACTTGAGCCCGAGAGTTTGAGGTGGTTGTCAGGTGTGACGCCACAGCATTCTACCGACAGTGACAAGTGAGACTCTGTCTCAAAAAATGTATGTATTTTTGAAAGAAGTTTAAAGCACAGTTAGTAAATTATTTTTTTACATCATCATAATTTAATTGTGTTGTGGAAGTTTAACTATAGGTTCATGTGCTGTGAGATAAAAAAGGTTGAAAAACACTGAGCTACAGGCTGGGGAGAGTCTGTAGGTCAGTCCAGCCCAACCTCACTGTGCTTCCCAGATCATCATTGGCCCTAAAGGCAGACTCATGGGGTGAATGGAGAACAAAGGTATGGCTTAAACTCTGGCAGTTGGGAGCAGCCCCAACACATCAGCCCCGGCCCAGAGGATGGGGACAGGGTGGGAATCAAAGACTATTTTGAGTCAGGATCTCTGGGATGGTGACCAGCCCTACCAACAACTGCCATCTTAAGCAAAAATTTCACCTCTTGGCTCGGCGCCTGTGGCTCAAGCGGCTAAGGCGCCAGCCACATACACCTAAGGTGGCGGGTTCAAATCCCCAGCCCAGGCCCGCCAAATAACAATGATGGCTGCAACCAAAAAATGGCCAGGCGTTGTGGCAGGCGCCTGTAGTCCCAGCTGCTTGGGAGGCTGAGGCAGGAGACTCGTTTGAGCCCAGGAGTTGGAGGTTGCTGTGAGCATGATGCCATGGCACTCTACCCAGGGGGATAGCTTGAGGCTCCTGTCTCAAAAAAAAAAAAAAAATCTTTCACCTCTTATGACCTCAGTTTCTTTATCTGTGAAGTAAGATAGGAGTAGCAAATGTCGACTAAGTGCCTTTTGGACTCAAAACTCTCTTACAGAGTTATTCTAATAGGGTCTCCTTAGAACCAGGTCTTTAGTCTCTTCAGGTCAAAGGTGAGCATAAACCCTGGGGGTGTGCTCCCTCTAGGGGACTTTGGGGGAAATGGGCAGAAGCAGGGAATAATAAACTCTAGACACCAGGTTCTGCTCCCCTGAGTTCCCCTCAAAGGCTGTGCACCCCAAGTGCCTGCAGCAATGGGGCAGGCAGAAGTTCTGCAGGGCCTTTGGTCCTGGGCCCAGTCAGATCTCCCTCAGTCTGAGTCCTGGGCCAGGAGCCAGACCTCACCTAGAGCTGCCAGTTAGCTGTGCATTCTTGAACCAGTCACTTCATCTCTCTGAGCCTCAGCCTACTCATCTGAAAATTAGGGGCAATAGCTCCCAGCCCTCAGGGAGGAGAACTTCAAAGCAGACCGTGTATGTGAAAGTATGTTGTAAGCAGCACCTGAAAAAGGTGCCCTGGTTCAAACAAATGAAGCCCTTGGTGTCCCTTTTGCTCTCTGGGGAAGCAGGTCAGGCTGAGTTGCATAACTATTCCCCTTCCCTCCTTTATCAGTGTTTCTCATAACAAAGCCTAGACTGTTGGTACTAATGGTCCCATAAATTTTGAGCTTCTATTTGGTGTAGAGTTAAGGCAGGGCTTGAAGGAGGTCAGTCAGGGAGGTTGCTCAGCATCTTCCCAGAGTGAGGTTATATCTCCCAAAGGCCTTTACCATGGAGCAGGCCCTGTTTAGCAATGAGAATACAGAGATAAGTTTTATGGTGTGGCAGGGAAGATGAAGTGATAGACAAAGTTAGAATGGGGTTTTGAGGGAGCAGAGAACCTGGACACTTAATGTGATTTTATAGATCATGGGATTCCAGGGAAATAGGAAGGAGACTGGATAGCTTGCTTTTTTTTTTTTTTTTTTTTTTGAGACAGAGCCTCAAGCTGTCCCCCTGGGTAGAGTCCTGTGGCATCACAGTTCGCAGCAAGCAACCTCCAACTCCTGGGCTCAAGCGATTCTCTTGCTTCAGCCTCCCAAGTAGCTGAGACTACAGGCGCCCACCACAACACCCAGCTATTTTCTGGGGCGGGGGGGTGCAGCTGTCATTGTTGTTTGGCAGGCTCGGGCTCGTTCGAACCTGCCAGCTCAGGTGTATGTGGCTGGCGCCTTAGCTGCTTGAGCCATAGGCACCGAGCCAATACTAGATAGAGAAGACATCTGAGCTGAATTTTCAGGGTAACTAGGGCAAGGAAGGCAATTCCTGGCAAAGAGGATAGTTTGAACAAAAGCAAGGAAGCATAAGCAATATTGTAGAAACATAATTATATGCAAGGCATGGAGATGCAGAAAGTGAGGCTGGGAAGGTAAAGATGGACCAGATGTTTTAATGTGAACCACAGCACTAATAATTTGTATACTGTTGGCCTCACCTTACAAATCAGGAAATAGAAGCTCAGAGAGGTTAATATGCCCAAGTCACACAGCCAGCAAGTGGCAGAGCTGGAGTGGGAACCTGATCTGTATGAATCTAGAGCACAGTCCCCCACCAGTGGATTAGGGAAGGAGAGGTCTGCTTTTGTGCAGAATCCTGGTGTGTGTGTGTGTGCTTCCCTAACTGCCTGTTCTTAATTTCAACAGTCTTCTTTTAAGCTTCTATCTGAGTTGAGGGCTTTCTGCAGCCTTCCGGGTGTCAGGCTGGCAGCTTGTAGTGCCTCTCTGGTTATTTTCAGATCTGAATGTGCCACAGAGAGGAAAGAGGCAACCGCAGTGGAAACCAGCTTCCAGCCCTGCTGCAACCCCATTTTTTTTTTTTTTTTTTTTTTGCAGTTTTTGGCTGGGTTTGAACCTGCCACCTCTGGCATATGGGGCCGGTGCCCTACTCCTTTGAGCCACAGGTGCTGCCCTGCAACTCCATTTTAAATAGCAGGAGAGAGGGCTGATGGCCAAAAAGTTCTACCCTCCAAGATGCCTTTCTGTCCCTGTCTGTGGCATGACTGCAGCAAGCCCACCCAACCAACTTCCAACATAGGCAGATAAGTGTGGATCTGGGCCTGCCTGCCACTACTGATGGTTGTTCCTACAGAAAGTTTCAGATGCATGGCATCTGAGGACTGCATTTTAGAAGCTCTGTCCCTCCATTCCTGGTTCTATCCGCTGGGGGCTCTGTCAGGCCACACCCATTCCAGGTGCCCCAGGAACCTTGGTCTGCATTGGGATCAGCCTGAAAGCCCAAAATGGAAAAACACATTCTTTTTTTTTTTTTTTTGGAGACAGAGTCTCACTTTATTGCCCTCGGTTGAGTGCTGTGGTGTCATAGCTCATAGCAACCTCCAACACGTAGGCTTAGGCGATTCTCTTGCCTCAGCCTCCTGAGTAGCTGGGACTACAGGTTCCTGCCACAACACCTGGCTATTTTTTGTTTCCATTTGGCCAGGGCCAGGTTTGAACCCACCACCCTGGGTATATGGGGCCAGTGCCCTACCCACTGAACCACAGGCACTGTCTGGAAAAACATATTCTAAGGAGAAGTTACTGGTCAAGAATCTTCTCAGCCTAAACCTTATTTCAGCATTTTTATTTCCTTCCAGATTCATCACTTAAGGCTATCCTATCAGCTTTAGGCTCTATGAGGAATGCTGGATGGCTCCCCTAAGAGGTCCTTTTGACTGACCTGGAAGCCGAGTGCTGGTTTCTTACTCTTCAAGTAAGAAGGGCAGACAGGCAGGTTCTGACATCTATTGAGCATCTGTAGCTCAGAGTTTGCCAGGTGTTTGGAGGCTGTCTTTCAGAATTGTGGTAATAACTCTATCTGCTCTAGGCTTTCTCACTTCTGACCATGAGGAAACAGATTTAGAGATTCTGAACAGAAGACACAACATACAGCCCGGGTGCAGTGGCTCATGCCTGTAATCCCAGCATTCTGGAAGGCTGAGGAGGGAGGATTCCTTCAGCTCAGGAGTTTGAGACCCAGCTACTCCAGAGGCTGAGGCAGGAGGATCAATCGCTTGAGTGTTGAGGTTGCTGTGAGCTATGACGCAATGGCACTCTACCCAGGGAAACAGAGTGAGACTCTGTCAAAAA